ACTACTACTACTACTACTACTACCACGACTGCTACTACTCCTACTCCTACTCCTACTCCTACTCCGACTACTACTACTACTACTACTTCCAGGCCCAGGAAAAAGCAAATTGGAAGTCTGTGGCCCAATTGCTTTTTCCAGCCTTGGGAAAAAGCTATCGCAAGTCTACTGAGGAAAGGCAATCGCAAGTCTACTGGCTGCTTCTACTGGCTGCTGTCCGCAGGTGTCGTGGTTAGATACTTGCAGTCGGGGTTGGTGACTTTTAAAGCGTGGTTATTGTACACTTAGTCGGGGTTAATGATTGGAAAGCGTGGTGAGGTACAGGTCTCCAAACCCGCGACTGGGAACGTCTGGTCCAACACATGTCTTCCATCGAGCGAAATAAAACCCTGTGTCACCGACCCCGCCTTCAATGAGCTCTGGCAACGAGTCCTCAAGGAGCACCAGGCCACCTACGAGCTGGGCAGCTAGCAGCTAGCAGAAGGGAGCAACCATGAAGGTCAAGGGAAAAACCGGTGTGCAGCAGGAATCTTATTGGCATGAATCTGCAACGGCGCCAAAGTATGGCCAGGTTTGCCTGTTGATTTGCAGGAATGTTCCACATGCTTTCTACCGAGGATATGAATTTGTACATCAGCATTGTGCCCAAACCAAACCCCTCAATGACGGTGATTGGTTGATCTGGAATGGTGGTTTGAGTTTATTCTAGCAGGATGTCCAACCTCCATGCATAAAACAATGGTCTTGATGCTGAATGCTGCAAACGATGCGCCCAATCAGGTACACCCATTGTAGTAATTATATCCCCCTGGTCGTCGATTGTGACAACCTAAATTTTCAGCATCTCTGATGGCCAACAATCTCAGATTCGACCCTTCAACGTGGCATGATGCACGAGTCCGGCGTCGCCACATGCGCTTTCCCTCTCCACCATCCATCTCCAAAGCTGGTCTTCGCCGCGTGGCAGGGTGGAAACCGCAGCGTCGTCGACCAATGGTGGAGCTGCTCAATGGACCGACACTCCCTCAGAGGGCAAAACTGGGGTCTTCGGTTGGCTATGAGGAACCAAACCTCAAAACCAAACATAGAGGAATCTCTTCGTTGATCCGGGGTCGCCTGGGCTGTGACCCACAGCCAGTGCTTGAAGGGCGAAAGGTATATCTGTCTTGCCCAAAACACTGAGACTGAAGCAACAGCAACCCTATGGCCAATCTCTCACGAACATCATCCTGAAATGATTGGGCCGCGTGGTCATTTTCCCTCTCCAGATCTTTTTCAAACGCCCATGACTCAGAAGCCCCTCCTCCTCTTCAAAGCGAGCCGCGTCTGGTTGGGCTGAATCACCGCAATCCAGGCTGCAGCCGAGTCGTCCTCGACTCTGAAATGACCTTAACTTCTCGACTCCAGCGGGAAGAATTGGTTTCACTGCGCCCAGGTCGACTTCTCTGCGCCCAGGGCTGACATCAGGGGCAAGGTGGCCCTCCAACAAGCTGGACTGTGGATGAAAAAAAGTTGAGCTTTGGGATGGTTTTAGTTTTGGTTTATTTCCCGAACTAAACCCAGGGAGGTCGAATTAACACACGAAACCATGTCATGCCAGCCTGTTGGACAGAGTCTGCACAGCCAAAAGATGTTGCGTTCAGCCTGAACAAGGTCACGGTGGATGGACTAAGTGACTAAGTCTTCCTGCTTCCCTTGAACGCCAAGGCTGCCAAGGCTCAGTCAGTGGTGTCCTGCAGAAATTGGGAACAGGACAATGCTTCAGAAAATCAGATTTTTGAGGAATGCTGACTGCTGACTGTTGACCAAACAATCTATATAAACTGCCCTATCAGGATGGTCTGACATGATCCAAGGGGGGATGTTCTTGATCAACTGTCAGCATGACTGTTTGTTTCTTAATAAACAGACTAGTCTCATCCAGTCACGACTTCGTAAATAATAGGCGGTTCTTCTTTGTATGACCTGTTTTGGTCTTACGATGTCTCATAGCTCCAGGGTCGGGTGTAGATCGGTTGATCGGTTGTTGCGAGTTGGCCCCATCTGGCAAATCTCAACCGGTTTGGGCATGAATCTGTGTTCAGAGGATGCGAGAGAAGTGAATCAAACAAGCATCCTTCAAAGCGTTTTGGTTCATTTCATCTCTACAAAGAAGAAAAAAGTCTCAGATCCATTCCACAGGAGGGAATGTGGACACAGTCTGCCCACACCAGAGCATCTGCACGGCCAATGCGGCTTAAGGCCTTCAAAAGGCAGCTCAAAATGATACCAGGACCCTCCAAGGGGTGTCTATTGAGAGCCCCTTAGCTGTGATTCGAGGTGTCCATTAACCACCCCCTGGGGGTCCTGGTAGTTTTCAATCTACTTTATTAAAAACGAAAAGCCAAACACAAATTGCCCAATAGCAATGAATTCCCCATCTCCTCCTAGGGTCGCACTTTTCCCCCGTTCGGGTCTGGGCACTGGCAGAAGCAAACGATGCTTCGCTGCAAACGTCAGACCGCTGTGAATTTGGTGACTTCTGCCAGCCTTGGATCACCCACCATGGGTGAGTCTATAAACTGAATTAATGAGAAAAAGGCCCGCCCAAAATTAGAGCAAGCAACAAGAATGGCAGAACAATTTCTGCCAGCCTTGGATCACCCAGAATTGGTGTCCAAAAACTGAATTGGTGGGAAAAGGCCCACCCAAAATTATAGCAAGCAACATGACTAGCAGAATGCTTTCTGCCAGCTTTGGATCACCCATCGTGGGTGAGTCTAGCAAAAAGACTCAACTGGCAAAATGCTAGCCTCGCTCCTTACTTGTATGGCACCAGCACGGTAGAAACTAACATTCCTGAAAGAATGGATCAGCAGCACGTGACTTCTCAAGTCCACCTTCCATCAAATACAAGAAGGTCTCCTTGTCTGCCTGGCTGTATGTGAACTTATCAGAGATGTTCATCCCAAAGTGACCAAGGTGCTTCTCCAAGCTCATGCGGTTCTGGCGGATTGTTTCCAAGCTCTCCTCCCGAATCAAGTTCTGCAGTGGGCATTTGGGAACATTCAACAACAACAACAACAACAACAACAACAACAACAACAACAACAACA